ACGCCGGAAACATGCTAGAAACTACCGTTTTCTAGCAATGGCCTTTCTGTCGCATTACCCTTCTTCCTGCGAGGTTGCTAGTCAGCAGGAGGTCGTACCCAAAACCGTGAGATTCTGGTTCGATCTGGCACGGTCACTCCTCACCTTTCTTCCTCTGATAAATAAGTAGCACCTCTTGTGAAAGAAGCATGAGATTATATGCCATAGTTGTCACCGAGTTGTAGACAGTCTGAAAAGGCAAAAACGAAGGCAATGTTAGTTGTTGAAGCGTAGATTAGAGCCACACGATAAGCCAAATGAAAAATCGGTGCCAGACATCGCCTTCAGTCGTAAACATGTAAGGAAGGCCGACATCACAACAGTTCCAAGCATTTCTCCCCCTTCATTATTATCTTTCGTGATAATTAAGTGCTTTATTGCTGTTGTGTCATCGTCATCAACGGCTAACAGGGATTAAACAGCAGAGTAATCTAGAGTTATGATTTCTTACCTCGTGGGTCGCTAGAGTTTAAACGAATTTAACGTTTAAAGTGATGCGACGACAGTATCGAACAATGAGCTATCATTCTCGGATTGCCAGCGTGGAGATAGTGTTACCAACGGAAACAGAATTCGATACAATGTGCGCGTGCAAAACTGCGACCATTAAATCGTTCGTACTTTCAGAAGAAACGATTGCTTCTCCGTACCACTTATGAACAGGCTCTGAAGACCAAGGGCAAGAGAAAATTCTCAGGGAAGGTTGGCAAAACAAAAGACTCTTTGGAAAACAAAATTATTCTTACATATATTTTGCAGATTATGACTAACCAATGACCAAAAATGCCGGCGAAGCTTTCTAGCGCTGGTTCAACCATCGTTTCGCAAAGTAGGCGAAACAACACCAGTAAAATCAAGCAGTCCTGCGAGTTCGGAAGTTCCATTCCGTTTACAGGGAACAGACCATATAATACCCTCGCTACTGACATGGCAGCGCTCTGCTTCTCGTAAGTGCAGTCACTGCTTCTGATAAAATATAAGATAGCACGATGTGATTACAGTATGCCCATTTCTCTGACACCAGCTCTCAACTTCAAGGCTAGGCGTGCTAAGGATATATATATATCTGAACACGCTAGAGAGCCCAGTCACGGGATAAACAACAAAAACGTTAAAATATTCGATTATGAACCATAGAGAGTTTCGAACATTTTATCAAAATGTTCTTACGCAATTAAGTTAATATACAGAGAAGACGGAAATCAACAAAGCAAGGGCGGATATCGGAAAACCAAGACCAATAAACACCGTTAAGCAAGAATGGAACATGTCATAAATCGTCATATGTAAAAAAATATCGTCATAACAAAAGTTTCACGTGCGTTTCTGCGGCGCATTCACTTGGTGACTAAAATTAAATAAGAGCAAACTTTCGTCCTATCCATACCTTGTTATCATTTATTTCAGTGTTCACACATTTAAATCTATCTGTGTATCTGTGTATTTACTGACTTACCCATCTATCTATTCAATCATTTTCTATTGCCTACTCATTTATCAATCAATCCATTTATCTGTCAACCTGTTCATCAATCTGTTTATCTGTCCATCGATCGATTCATCGATCCCTCTATTCATCTACCTCCCTGTCCATCCGTCCATTTGTCCGGCAGTCGATCAATTTATCTAGATAATTATTTATGTACGTGTCAATCTACTTACTTGCATATTTATTTATCTATGTCTTTATCCATGTATCTCTCTATCCACCTATCTCTACCTGTTGAATGCTCGATCAACTGATCCCTCTGTTTGTCTATCTGTCTGTCCACCCTTCCGTCCGCATGTCAATTTATTAATCTACCTAACTGTTTATGAATGTATTAAGCCATATATCTATGCTTTGTCGATCAGTCTGTTCATATTCCTGTCTGCCCATCTGTGTATTAACTGATCCTTCCATATATTCATCCACTCGCCCATCTATTTATCTACAGCTGTTGTCCTACTATCCATCCTCTTTTAACCAATCCATCAATCAGTCTGTTTCCATAAATCCGTCCGTCCATCACTCTTCACCTGTCCTGCAACAGATGCATGAATCTGTGTAGCAATGACCAAGTTTCGGCGTGCCTAGCACACAAATCGTCACCACATGTTAGAACGGTGACCACAATTAGCAAATTGATGTAGATACTCTTGTTACAGCCATGACTATCAATTTCATGTTAATCACAATAATGTTCTTATTTAGGCAGAAAAATTAGCAGAACATTTGGATGCTGTGAGTACAGTGACTGTAAACGGACGAGTGACAAACGAAG